TGGTATGGGACTCATGAGCAGTGCGCATCAACGATTCCAGCACCTCGCAGGATTCGAACCAGAGACTTTCGGTATTGTGCAATAAAAGTTATGTTATTTACCATTTAAATTGCAAAATGTCTATTCTCTCTTCTATAGATGGTTTACATATTATGTGCTTGATATATCCAAACGGCAATATATCTCTATACTATGAGAACGTAAGCTTAGCATTTGAATTAAACAGAATGTTACTATGACCGATTCTGCTTGGTTTACTATCCTACGTATTAAATTGAACGAATAAATTCCGCATATTGAACATTTTCTTTGGCAGCAGAGTAGCTTAAAAAACTCGTTGCAAACAATTTAAAATTAATTGAGTAATGAGAAAGTTGACCTGATTCCTGTCCCTGCTTATGTAAACTCCACTCTCACCTTTTTAACTAGTACAAAATACAGTTTGGGACGAATCAATAAAAAATACTGAAAACTTTAAGTAGTCTGGAAGTGTTCCACGCACATTGGTAGATGAGGAAAGTTGGGACTTCTGTGGAACAGCGCATGTTGGCGAACCCCACTTATTATCGAATGAGAATTGTATTTTCACCATACAGTGTGTTATTTCATATCACTAATGATAAACTCTTCATAAAATTCATTGAAGCTAGATTTAGTCACATCCTTTACGTAGACTGAGCAAAGCAATTCTAAGGTGACTAGGAATATCTGAATGCTCATTGTGAATTTGATTAGTAGTATTTCAATGTGATTATCTGAATCACGACATGGTTCACATCACTTCAATAAGTGCTTTTGATTGGTCGAATGTTAACAAATCTTGATACAGATTTCTAATAATTATTTCCAGATACCTCCGACTATGAACAAGAATAAACTGAATGCAACTATTCAGACTTCCTTCGAGTGCATTGATAATTCAGAATGTAAGATACCTTTCGGTCATTTTTAGTTGTATGTAAACCAAACCAGTTTCTCTCTACAATTATGACATATTTCAGTTTTATACGAATTTGATGATATTGAAATATTTTATCTGTACGCACAATCATAACGATCCTGCATTTCGAAAACACATTGTCAACATTATACTTTTGAATAGATGTAGCCAGGCTACAAAATATCGAGAAGCATTGTAAGACATGGTCATGAACTTGACCTATGCTTCTGATGAATTCACTGAACAGTTAAATCACTATGATCTGGTTTTCTAATGAGAAATTTCATGGACAGATGGTATCGCGATACACGTATATAAACTGTTGCTTCATATGTGATCAACAGTAAAATTAGTGATGTGTGCATGTAGCCTTATTGACATAATCATTCAGCAGAATACAAGCATAAATTTACATTTTAGTTTTTCAGTCATACGATCTATTCATATAAAGCGAACTCTTTGTTATAAAACATAGTGAATGAAGTGATACCTTGAGCTGAAATAATCTCTGACACTTTCACAATGATATGATTATTTTCAGTTGGAACATCAAGCTAATTTCGAGATAAACGTTTAGAATCTATATGAAAGTAGCATTTATTTTTCATTGTTGAATCTGAGAAAATGCACAAACGATTTTTTCAAGAATTATATTCTTTCGTTAAATGTGTCATTGATTCTCGCAGCAGTGAATATGCATGTTTACCTTGCGTAATTTTAAAATGTGCAATTATTCGAGGAGTGAAACACATTTTCTGATAATGATGATGTATTGACATGTCTGTAGTATAAAACTTGAGTTTACCATTGTCTTTTTCGATTCAGCAACTCGGCCAACAAACAACGAATCATCCCAAACAATGAAATACTTATTCGAGGAAACCTTGGTTTTCAAGTGGCACATTAGTGGAGTTTAAACCATGCCAAGTATGGTAACAAACAAAAACAACATTCACTATTGAAATTTTACTACACGAATTTACATGCATGAGTAACTTTACTTTTGTTAATTCAAACCTGATTTTCAAAAAAATGCATTTGTCAGTGTAATAAATTAGTGGTCAATTGAATTTTCTCAATTAATTGATTTTTTCTTCGCCGAAAATTGGATCATTTCCATTCGTTGTTAAATAATAATTATCATTTCAAAGTAGTTTGTACTTATTCTACAAGATACAAGCACATATGACAATCAAAAACATTTGATAAGGTTTACAGTGTACAATAAAAAGTGATTCATCGTGTACGCACATGCCAAATTATCGTTTTAGCCACTCAGATCATCATTCGATTGTCTGTTGTTTTGGTCACGTTGAATAGGAATTGGAAAGAACCAACTGTTGTTAAAACCCACTACATTTCACTTGTCACAAAATTAATCACTTAATTTGAATATCAATGAGTATGCTGTTCGAATAGAAACACAAAACTGCCATGAAAAGTGCATGTCAATGGAAGGAAATAGGTCCAAGTTATATGAGGAAGATAACTACTTTCCTTGTCTCATTCTTTATTCACCTTGTTATGGTGAAGTACAATTCATTCTCACTGAAGTGACAATTCCTGTAAACGATTTAATTTTTTTTCTCAGTAACCTTTAACTGCATTCATTATTGCTCTTTCCGACAGATGTTTGTTCTAAACAACAATTCGTCTTAATTCATGTGAAAATGCAACGACATCTAAAGTGAAATGTCATTGGTGTTCAAAAGCTAACATATGCAGGTAACCTTCACGACATGTATACTGTAGCTTGGCAAGCAAAAAAATTGTGACGTAAGTTACTATGAGAAAATGAACATACAGTTATTGATTTGATTATATTTTTTCACACTGTTGTGGAAACGAATACTGACCTACACATATCATAGTGACTGAATCAAATCATTTGAAAAGCTGACAAATACTGTGTCATACATAAGTACAGCGTTTTTCACGGAAATAGTGAGCAACGAGAATAAATGTTGTTTGAGATAGGACACATCGAACAAAACAACTTTTTCGTTCGATATGATGTTTTGGATTTGCACTAACCTACTGGATGATATCATTTTGAGTTATCGGCAAAATATAGATTGCACTATGAATCGCATTATACTTGTTCAGATTACAATTTGTAGGTACATGTTTATCGATATAAAAAAGTGTAACTATTGATCGGCTTCAAGTCGATATGCGTCTATTGGGTGATGAAAATATGTCAAGGCAGTTAATAAATCCTACTGGAGTAATATCAACTCTAAGAGTTTTTCTGCGCAATGACTGTCAAAAAAGACAGATAAGATGGTTTTTTTTTTTAAAAAAACGAGGAACATGGACTGAATACGCAGGTTCATCAAATCGAATAGTGCTGAAAAAAGTCTCAAGTGATTCGCCCTTGAAAAAAACATATTTCGTGCAGCCCTAAATGCAATTCCTTAGCCAGTTTTCCTAATCACAAAATAGTTACAAAATACTTTACTATTACAGTTATCTCACATAAGGTAAATAGTGACGCTGTTTTTTCAATAGAACACAAGGTGATTCTTCGCTTTTAATGGCGTTCCTTATCTTACGAGTAATGTTTTCATGTAACTTTTATTCATTTTAGAAAAATAGTATGCTGACGGTTTTGTGAGATGGACTCGAATGTTGTGTCTGTTCATCAGCC